TGTCCTGCCTGTCCTCTGTCCTCAGTCCTCTGTCCTGCCTGTCCTCTGTCCTCAGTCCTCTGTCCTGCCTGTCCTCTGTCCTCAGTCCTCTGTCCTCTGTCCTCTTTCCTCTGTCCTCTGTCCTCTGTCCTCTGTCCTCTATCCTCTGTCCTCTGTCCTCTGTCCTCTGTCCTCAGTCCTCTGTCCTCTGTCCTCTGTCCTCTATCCTCTGTCCTCTGTCCTCTATCCTCTGTCCTCTGTCCTCAGTCCTCTGTCCTCTGTCCTCTGTCCTCTATCCTCTGTCCTCTGTCCTCTGTCCTCTGTCCTCGTCCTCTTTCCTCTGTCCTCAGTCCAACTACCTCCATGTCCTCTCAAAATGTATGCATCATCTACTCTTCATCTGTTTCCTGCCATTTGTCTCTCTATGATCCTTCTAACAATATCCCCACTGTCCCTCAATGGACATGTCCAAACCAATAATAATAATAATAATAATAATAATTTTATTTGAAAAGCACCTTTCAGGACACCCAAGGACACTTACAGCAGTAGGCACATCGTAGAAGAATGTGTGAAATTACAGATTAGAGACAAGCAGACATGATTTACAGAGCATGGATTACAGATGAAGCTAAGATGAATGTTAATCTAAAGAGATGTGTTTTCAAAGCAGACTTGAACACAGGAAGAGAGGTGGTGTGTCTTAGGTCAGGTGGTAGAGAGTTCCAGAGGAGAGGAGCAGAACAGGTGAAGGACCTGCTCCCCATGGTGGAGAGGTGGGCAGAGGGTACCTGGAGGTTTGGTGAAGAAGAGGATCTGAGAGAGCGGGAGGGGATGGAGATGTGCACAAGGTTGGACATGTAAGGAGGGGCAAGATGGTGGATAGCTTTAAATGTGAGAAGAAGAATTTTGAAGACGATGTGTGATTTGGGAGGAGGGTTGGGTGATGACACGTGCAGCTGAGTTCTGGACCATCTGAAGCTTATGGAGGGATTTGTTGGGGAGGCCAAAGTGAAGAGAGTTGCAGTAATCAATCTGTGAGGTCCCAAGACTGTAGACAAGGATGGCTGTGGTGCAGGGAGTGAGAGATGGATGGAGACGGTTGATATTTCTGAGGTGGAAGTAGGCAGACCGCGTAACATTATTGATGTGAGCAGTGAAGGAGAGAGTGGTGTCCAGGATGACTCCAAGGCCTTTTCCCAATCTGTGGCTACACACTCGCCCTGCTCACTCAGTTTGAGCGTTCCCGCAGAGAGTTGGCCATATAAAGTCCCATCTGAAACCAGTTAGGCACGAGGGCGAGTGGCTTATTCAGCCCTCCACAGCGAGTCTGCATCCAATGCAGACTTGATCAGCAGATGCAACACCAAATAGGGGTCAGCATGGAGCACGGGACAAATAAATATAAGTTCCACATATGTTTTGTACACATATTTACTAAGTAAACACCTCACCAACAAATATAATTTCACATAAATCATGTTTAATTCAATTCAAACTTTATTAAAGGCACAGAACCCTGGTCCACATTTAAAAAAGAAGAAAGGAAACATTAAAAAATAAAGAAAAAATAAATAAATTCTTTAAAAAATGTTAAAAGTGCAATGATTTTGACAAGTTATCACACTGTGTTTGTTCCAAACACAGTCATATCTGAAAGCTCTTTAAAATATGGGCCTAAATAAATATTTTCTTTGGTCCTATTAAAAAGGT